TCATGGCAACCTCCGCCCGACCCCTCCATCCGCCATCCTAATCCCCGGGACCCGAGAGGAGACGGGAAGATGGCAGAGAGGTAACACCATCCCCATCCTCTGTGTGTCTCGGGGGGAAGGGAGATCACCATCCTCTGTGTGGGGGAGGAAAGGGTTAATTCGGTCCATCAATTACCTTTTGCCTGTTGCTGAGAAAGGGTTAATGTGGGAGGTCACGTGTTCATTCTGAGAGGAAAGGGTTAATATGGACTGTGACCACCCTCATCCTCATCCTCAGTGTGTATGGAGAGGAGAGGGTTAATAGAGGGGTGACATCCTCATCCTCAGTGTGTATGGGGAGGAGAGGGTTAATAGAGGGGTGACATCCTCATCCTCTGTGTATATGGGGAGGAGAGGGTTAATAGAGGGGTGACATCCTCATCCTCAGTGTGTATGGAGAGGAGAGGGTTAATAGAGGGATGACATCCTCATCCTCAGTGTGTATGGAGAGGAGAGGGTTAATAGAGGGGTGACATCCTCATCCTCAGTGTGTATGGGGAGGAGAGGGTTAATAAAGGGGTGACATCTCCATCCTCTGTCACACGTTTGCCCAATATCTGTGGAGAGAGGAAAGGGTTAATCTGTGTTCCGCCAACCCTCGGTATGTGTGGTTAGGAGATGGTTAATCTGTGTGTGTTTGTACAGATAGGAAGGGGTTAATGTGAGGTAACATGTCCGCCCGCATGGTATGTGTGTACCAAGGAAGGGGTTAATATCGGGTCACATGTTTATATTGTGGGGGGGAGGGGTTAATATCGGGTCACATGTTTATATTGTGGGGGAGGAAGGGGTTAATATCGGGTCACATGTTTATACTGTCGGGATAAAGGGGTTAATATGGGGTCACATGTTTATATTGTGGGGAGGAAGGGGTTAATATGGGGTCACATGTTTATACTGTGGGGATAAAGGGGTTAATATCGGGTCACATGTTTATATTGTGGGGAGGAAGGGGTTAATATGGGGTCACATGTTTATACTGTGGGGATAAAGGGGTTAATATCGGGTCACATGTTTATATTGTGGGGAGGAAGGGGTTAATATGGGGTCACATGTTTATACTGTGGGGATAAAGGGGTTAATATCGGGTCACATGTTTATATTGTGGGGGGAAGGGGTTAATATCGGGTTACATGTTCATACTGCGGGGAGGAAGGGGTTAATATCTGGTCACATGTTCATACTGTGGGGAGGAAGGGGTTAATATCGGGTCACATGTTCATACTGTGGGGATGAAGGGGTTAATATTGGGTCACATGTTTATATTGTGGGGGGAGGGGTTAATATCGGATCACATGTTCATACTGTGGGGAGGAAGAGGTTAATATCAGGTCGCATGTTTATACTGTGGGGGGGCTAAAATCGGGTCACATGATCATACTGTGGGGAGGAAGGGGTTAATATATGGTCGTATGTTTATATTGTGGGGAGGAAGGGGTTAATATCGGGTCACATGTTCATACTATGGGGAGGCAGGGGTTAATATCGTGTCACATGTCTATACTCTGGGGAGGAAGGGGTTAATATCGGGGTCACATCTCTATACTGGGGGGGGTTTCATCTTGGCTGTCTCTCTCATGTGTGTGGTTAGAAAGGGGTTAATGAGCAGAGCATGCTGGGACAGGTGATAGTGGACGCTCCTCCCCCTCCCCCAGCGCGTCCATCCAGTACACATGGACGTCCCTGACGCAGGAAAACATGGCGGCATGCGGCACGCTCACATGGTATCATTGGTCCCCCCCCTACATCCGGTGTGTACTGCTGGCGGCAGCGCTGTAGGAGGGCGGGAATGGCGGGGGACGCAGAACGCTTTCTTATATCCCAAAATGGAGGACGGGGATGGCGGTGACACCGGCACTTCCTCCTTCTATATTCGGTGAAGACGGAGGAGGGTAGACGTCTCTCACTCTGCGTTCTGATGGCGGCGACAGCGGTCTATCTTTCTCACAGGCCGCCATGTCTCTTCCTCCACATGACCGATCACATGACCGCCGGCTGTCCGTATTCATTCCCAGGGACATTCCGGGGATTAGGATGACACCTCGGCAGTCTGCTTCACCCCTCTGTGTGCCAGAAGTCGGCGGTAAAATCTGTGCGGGGGATTCCATTTCTAGGAAGGAGCCTACCTCGTCCTGGAGCGTGGCTGCCATGGTCAGGTGATCCGCCATGGTCAGGTGATCCGCCATGGTCAGGTGATCCGCCATGGTTGGTACTGGATTGTGTGCGTAGAGCCATATGGAGAACTCTTCCTCCCATGATTTCACCATCATCATGTGGGGGCCCTTTAAGTGGATGTTGTTGGGGGTTCTGGCCCTTTAAGGGGGAATCCTCAGTTTCCTCTGATTGTAACATTTGTAACATTCACCTAGAAGTTGAATCTCGATGCTCCTTTTTCACCATGGCGCTCCTTTGCTGTCCCATATTTTGATGAACCCCGCATCTGTAGAGTCAGCTCTGCTGCCGAGATAAGACTAATGACATTACAGGCCCCATTCACAGAGTGACAGTTCTCGTCAGCCAATGAGATGAGAGGAAGGAGTCACATGGCTGGACAGAACGATCTTTATCCCTGTGAATGGAGCATGCAGTCCCCTCCATAGGTGTGAACCCAGGCTAAGGCTCAGCACACACATTACAATCTGTACAATCTCCTGCGCAGAGAGGCGACACGGACGGGAAATTCTCCGGCAAATTCAACTTTGGATATCAAACGCGACCAGAGCGGACCAATGGCGGTAGGGTGCGGCGGCCATCGCTCGTGAAGTGCGCCAAATTCACGGCGGGGGATTTCCCCTGATCCGCGCTCAGCCCGGAGATGATTGGCGCTCAGACGGATCATCCGGGCGGATTAGACGGCTGACATGCCGATCTGATCTGTATTCCAGGCACACGTGTATCCGCAGTGATGCCCGGAGAGAGAGCGACGGGGAGCGTTCCCGCCATGTTCCGTGCAGCGCCCCGCTTCGCTCGATTGATTCATAGGCGGCGCTGGCGGCTCGATCAGCGGCACTACGGCTATGGGGGGAGCTTCACTGAGACATTGGAGCCGACGGGTGAGAGAGACGGGATGCTGGGTAACGGATGACGGCTGATTTACCTTACCTGAGATGTACGTCTGTCATATGTGGACGCCATTTCCGTGGAGGAGACCCTTTAAGTCTTAAAGTGAACCTTACCCCCTGAAAAGAACTTCCCATCCCCCATCCCTCACAGATCATCTCGTGTACATGTCTCCCTCGCTGAGCACCATATTCGAGGATATGTACAGGCGTGACTCCCCGGAGAAAGGCATGATGGGATTTATATTGTAGGAGGGGCAAAGACACTACTGGGGGGAAATCTCACCATTGTGGGAGGGGCAGAGACACAAACTACTGGGAGGAAATCTCACCATTGTGGGAGGGGCAGAGACACAAACTACTGGGGGGAAATCTCACCATTGTGGGAGGAGCAGAGACACAAACTACTGGTGGGAAATCTCACCATTGTGGGAGGGGCAGAGACACAAACTACTGGGGGGAATCTCACCATTGTGGGAGGGGCAGAGACACAAACTACTGGGGGAAACCTCACCATTGTGGGAGGGGCAGAGACACAAACTCCAGGAGGAAATCTCACCATTGTGGGAGGAGCAGAGACACAACTACTGGAGGAAATCTCACCATTGTGGGAGGGGCAGAGACACAAACTACTGGGGGGAATCTCACCATTGTGGGAGGGGCAGAGACACAAACTTCTGAAGTATACATTCGACCTGAAAAGAAAACATATTTAAGAACGTTCGTTCTTGCCTCTATTAGCACAGAATGGATCCGTAAGGCGATTGGCCTCAGTATTAGCTCACAATATACTATGGACCTCCTCTAGTCTTTCCCTTTAATTCTGGTGGGTTGATATAGAGTAACGGCGGAGTCGCTGACATTTAGGAATATTTTGGCAGAGGAGGAAGGAATGTGACGGTGAAGACCTTTTGCAGAACAGCGACGTCTTCCAATATTTGACATTTTTTCTGCTGGCGTCACATGTTCCTGAAGCATCTACAAGCTCAGACTAATACCTGCAGCTTCAAAACCCGGAACCAAGGTGTAGGAGCTGGAAGAGAGGGTGGTGTTCTGTACCCTTGGTGTGCGCCAATCATTGCGTGTCTCTGTTCCAGTCTGTAGACCGGCCATTGTCAACCTGGGGTCCATGGAACCCTAGAGATCTGCTAGGGGTTCCTTGAGCTGATTGTCCTCCTATTTGATGGTCCCTGCATAGGGTTCCTCTAGGGTTCCTTAAGTTGATTGTCCTCCTATTTGATGGTGCCTGCATAGGGTTCCTCTAGGGTTCCTTAAGTTGATTGACCTCCCATTTCATGGTGCCTCCATAGGGCTGTGCTAGGGTTCCTTAAGTTGATTGACATCCCATTTGATGGTGCCTCCATAGGGCTGTGCTAGGGTTCCTCAAGTTGATTGTCCTCCCATTTGATAGTACCTGCATAAGGTTCAGCTAGGGTTCCTTGAGCTGACTGACCACCCATTTGATGGTGCCTGGTAAGGGTTGTGCTAGAGTTCCACTAGGGTTCCTTAGGTTGAGTGACCTCCCATTTGATGGTGCCTGCATAAGGTTGTGCTAGGCTTCCTCTGGGGTTCCTTAAGTTTATTGTCCTCCCATTTGATGGTGCCTTGTGAGGGTTCTTCTGCTAGGGTTCCTTGAGCTAAACAACCTACCATTTGATGCTGCCGGCATAGTTCCGGGGTCATGGACTTGGCAGAGCCAGCTGTCTAAAGCCAATGGTACTTTTTTTTTTTTTTTAGCCTATTGTCAACCTGGGGTCCATGGAACCCTAGAGATCTGCTAGGGGTTCCTTGAGCTGATTGTCCTCCTATTTGATGGTCCCTGCATAGGGTTCCTCTAGGGTTCCTTAAGTTGATTGTCCTCCTATTTGATGGTGCCTGCATAGGGTTCCTCTAGGGTTCCTTAAGTTGATTGACCTCCCATTTCATGGTGCCTCCATAGGGCTGTGCTAGGGTTCCTTAAGTTGATTGACATCCCATTTGAT